AAAGAACTCCTTGAAGCCATAGATCCAACTTCTCTAACCCCAGCATCAACGAAGACGACCTAATTAGTTTCTATACGAGAATACTGAGAGGTGTTTAGTACAGGTCTAAAGCGTCTGACCATGGATGCATCTGTTAATATTTTACTCTCACAGTGGTTGACATGTGCCTCTGTGTGATTTATTCCCCTATTTCTCTAGTGATCATGTGTAGTGTGATAGTTGGTAGTTGATCTACACCGTGTTTCTATCTGCCTTATTGTGTATTTTAAAAAGTTGTAAGGTCTAGATCTATAGGACAAGAGTTAGCTTTTATGTAGATCCCGTATGAAATTTAAGTTATGTTAAAAAAAAAAAAAGGGAAAAAAGAAAGATTAAAGCAGCAAGCAGTTAATTTTAAAGATGTTACCTTCAAAATTCATTATATTTCTAAAATAGATTGATTTCAAATAAATTTTATTCCTTAAATTCATTAAATCACCTAATATATTCTTTTTTCATTGTAGTCTTAATTTTGAATTAATTTTGTTTGTTTTATTGACTAAAATAGTCATTTCTTTTATTCTCAAAATTAAGTTGATTTATTTTCAAATTAATTTCATTCACTATTGTAAAATAGTAATTTAGTTCCAAATTGATTCAAATTTCAAAATTAATTATTTATAAAGTAATAAAATATAATAAAATTAAAAAATGTTAAAAGGAAAAAAGTATTTAAAAAAAAAGAGAAAAATTGAGCCAATTGAAGATTTTTAATCAGTTATCAGTCGGACGAAATTTTAAAACACTCATAAAAAAAAACTATCAAAAAATAATATTCATCTAATGGGTCGGTTCCTTAATGTTTGATGGTAAGTTTAATTAGTTAGAACTGATAGGAATTTATAGATGTATATGTTTATTGTTTTTTTTTGGTTTCCCATCCGGTATCTGGGTTTCGCCCCGACTAATCTGGATCGACCCGCGTCGCGCACCTGGAAATGATGGGTGAGTCTCCCAACGGAGGCTACTGCATTCACAAGGTCTCGAACTCGAGACCTTGCTTAAGCTGTATATGTTTATTGTTATTCCTTGAAAACTCTCCCTCATTTTTATATTATGTCATTGTTGTATTTCGGTCACAATATTAAATAAAATAATAATTAGTAAAATAATTAATAAATACCAATAAAAAAATATCATCAAAATAGTCATAAAAAACTTACTTATTTTAAGGTGATTCACGCATTTGCAAAGAATAAATCAACCGATGCAGCAGAGATATATATAACATGTCACATCCAGGATGTTACAGCTTTACAATAATACTCTATAAATCTGCATTACCCATAGAGTTACCTAACTCAAAATACTCTTCTTTACCCAAGAATATTTAGAAGATAAAATAAGGACAGAAAAATAGAAGAATATGGAGGGACACACCATTGTTGAGCAAAATGACATGTCTTATTTATAAGGCTAATGATCTTATAACTCCTATTATAAGTTAATGATAGGAATAAATTGGGTAATTATTATGAAATAATATGCCCTTAAATAAGACAATTAATCTATAACGACTAGTTTAACCAAGTCTTTAATGAGACAATAAATTTAATTTATAAAATATATTATTTTACTTTTTATTAAAATATTTAAGTTCTAACAATTCCTCCTCTATTTTAATAGAAAATAAACCTTTCTTTTAGGGAAAGATGGATTATCATGCATAATAAAGGTAGCTAAGCCTTGAACCTTTACTTAGTGAATCAGTAATTCTTAATCTAAAGTTAATAATGAATTAAATCTTGAACTATGACTCCATTGAAAGATACAAGAATTATATTACACACATAATGATCTGAATATTGAGTTTTTCACACAGCTAGCGCGTTATGGCCTTGCGCATGATCCTGGTTTTCATGGGTGATTTAAAAAATTGCCCGTCCAATTTTCATAGAAACAACCTCACTTCGACACCCACATAGGTGAAATTCGTCAAGGGTGCTTTCATAACTAAAACACCCCACTCATTGAGTTATAAATTTCATTAAGAGTATATAACTCAACCCTCAATTCGTTATGGGATAGATGTATTCTCACCTTACGAATGGGATAGGAATTTTTTTTCCTAAAATATTGATGCATCTTTCAACAACGACTTCTCCATGATTTGTTTTTCCCATACAAAACCCAATTCTCAAAATTCATGTTGGGTATCCTCATAGGAAGTTCTACATTATTGGGCTTGAATCCCATTCCCCTCGATGAGCACTAAACCTTAGACTATGATCATAGTTTGTTCTCCAACTTTCGTTTTTACCAAAGGTCTAGTTGTTGGTATAGTGGGTAACAAAGAGATTTAACTCATTTTTTTCCCACATTTTCACATCAACCCACATGTATACTAGCTCATAAAATTCACATTCATATTTCTCAAATCCTCAATTCATGGTACCACAATTTTTGATATCAAATAGAGCTAGTGAACCACCTTTTTCTTTCCATACATGTAGTAGCATGTATTTAAGAATTTTTTAACTCAAACACCATTGTACCTTGTTGTACAATAGGAATTTCCATGATAGCATATCCTTTCTATTCAAGTAAAGTGCCTTATTCTTTTTCATCATACACCATCATACCACAATTGTATAATAGGAGTGCATATCACATTTACTTTATTAACCACCATTACACCTTACTGTATAATAGGAATGCTATACAAAATTTCACTTAAGCACCATTGGTCTCATTACCAATAATAATACATAGGGACATTACAATCCCCCATATTGGGAGCATCTCAAATACGTGATTATCACATTTCTTAAATAATTGAGTTCATGAAGAAACTCATTTTTTCACAAAATTTCATAAGAGTATATTAGCTTATCTCACATTTTATCACCACAAGTGGCTACTCAATTATTCAAGTTTAAAAATTTAACTTACATTTCCAGAATAAACTGACCCAAATTTCTTGTCTACTTTTACCAAAACAATTACATGGACCAATTCAAGTAGCTTTTCACTTGAGCTCTTAAAGTTTCACTTGTTTCATTAAAAAAAAACTCAATAATATGGTCAATTAAATGCACATATTTATTCACCAATTTTAAAACCATTAAAAAATAATAATCATCAATTAAATTATTTATCAATGGTGCACATTAATGCTCATAAATAAAAAAAATAATTATAATGTCTCATACATATGTGCATTTCTAATCACATGCGTAAGAAAGCATCCTCAAATTTATTACATGTGCATTTCTAATTATATGTGTAAAAAAGTATCCTCAAATTTATAAAGCCTTTATATCCCAAATATATCATATTAATATATTTGATCCACCAATGATCAGATTTAGTTCAAACGGCTTACAGCTAAAATCATACCAATATGCATGCCATTGGAGATAAATTATAAACTAAATATAGATTTAAGGCTACCAATAATTATTCTTATAAATATAATTATGTGCGGCCATGTATGTCTTTATGCAAGCACATGCCAAATTAATCACATAATCCTATATATGAAGCATGTATAATGAGATATTAGAATTGCATGTAGAATGTGCTAACATTTTTTTTTTTTTTTAAGGAGCAAATAGAACACATATTTTTGCATTATTCAACCGCACAAGTAAGGAAGGTAGGTAATATATGGCATCCTTAATTTTTGGGCTAGATTTGTACCAAGAATTCATACATGTTTGGTGCACATATATCAAGAAAATCAGAATTTTCTATTTTGCTTACGCAAGACCTCATATATTTCACTTTTGCTTTACAGCTTGAATCGCCTTAAAATTGTTATTCCTTGAACACTCTTCCCCATTTCCACATTATGTCGTTGTTGTACCTTGGTCACAAGATCAAATAAAATAATAATTAGTGAATTTATCAATAAATATCGATAAAAAAAATATTATCAAAATAAACATGAAAAACTTACTTACTTTAAGATGATTTACGCCTCCACAGAAAGTAGATCAATCGGTGCAACAGAGATATATATAGTATGTCACCCCCAGGATGCTACAGCTTTATAATGACAGTTTATAAATCTGCACTACCCATAGAGTCATATAATTCAAAACACTCTTCTTTGCCCAAGAATATTTAGAAGATAAAATAAGGAAAGGAAAATAAAAGGATGTGGAGGAACACACTATTGTTGAGCAAAATGACATGTCCTATTTATAGGGCTAATCGTCTTGTAACTTCCATTTGTAGGTTAATAATAGGAATAAATTGGGTAATTATTATGAAATAATGTGCTCTTAAATAGGACAATTAACCTACAACGGCTAATTTGACAAGTTCTTAATGAGATAATAAATTTAACTTATGAAATATATTATTTTATTTTTTATTAAAATATTTAAGTTTCAACATTTTTTTTTTATAAAAGTATGTTGTTTTGTAATTTTTTGTTTTATATAAAATGAGATTTTAATTTTTTTAGTCCAACTAATAATAAATGTGACTTATTAAAATTATTTATACAAAAATAATGCTAAATGCATTCCTACCTGAATAATGATATACG